ATCGTCGGGTCTCCCATATATAGGATGTCCTCAGTTGCAAATATAAAAAAAACACACACACAATATAAAATTTGCATGAAGGACAGAAATTTGAAAAAAAGAACACCTGCTGTGAGTCCTCCACTCTCGCAATAACTTCTGAGTGGCTCCCTTGATTAGATCAAACATGCAAACTTGTCCCTCTAGATATCCAACCAATAAACGGCTGCTGTGAATAAACGATAGCGCTGAAACTACGCCAACACCCTTCAATGTGTGGGTGCAGTGCTGTAAGAACCATGTCCCATACCTAAACTCGTTTATATCTTCACAGAGGTTACCAGATCAGAAAAACCACAAGATAGTTATCAGCTGACAACATTTCAGCTTTTTTTGCATAAATTCTGCTGTCGTGAGCTTAGTGCGAACTGGATCGCGCCGATCGCGAAGTCTGAACGCGCTCTTGGACACGTAACGATTGATTGCTAAACAGTTCAAGTGCCAAGACGGATGAGACCCCATCAAGCTACTTGAGTCGCAACTACTAGCTCCCGCCTTGTTTGCGAAACTATGTACAAAGACTATGAGCAAAGACTTCAACGAGAGAAAAGTACTAGCGCTGAATGAAGCAGCAAAAGCTGGGCACACAACCTTCATCGGAGCTTTGCAGCAAAGAGACAAAAATGATGTCCCTGCGATGCTCCAATGTAACAGCCACTGCCCAACGAAGGGAATCAAGAAGTTCGTCCCGGTATTCTGTTCCTATACGTCTTCAAAAACCATTTTAGGGAATGGTATCTTAAACTGAAGCTGACACATCTAGTACATCCCGTAAACTTCGAAACTTCAAAATTGCCCAGAGATAATATTCACAAGAACAGAAAAGAGGCAATAATGATTAAGATCGGCGCAGATCCTCCATGAGGAAAATCCTCTACACAGGTTCATTGCGATCTCACCCAGTTGTATGATATGCACAAAGTCAATGAAGGAGCGACGAGCCTACTGACGGTTCAGTAGGCGTCTGTAATCCGCACTAGGCCCAAAGAGCTGGTGGAAACAAGTATGAGATGAAGCAGACAGATCTTTGCAGAAATAGCTGAAAGTCCGGCAATTCTCCAAAAAATTTAGTCACCAAGAATTGCGTGGCGATTTGGCTGGATGACTTTTTGGATTTCCTACTGCAAATCAAAAGTCAAGTGAGTTCCCAAAAACCACAAGCGACGACACTGCAGTAGTGCCGATAAAGATTCCCTCCAAATGACTCAGAAGTGAGTTACATAGGTTCAAGCAAGGGTAGAATGATAGGCCAAACGAAAATTTTCACCTTTACGGTATGATCTGCCGAGCCTGTCGCTAACAACGTGCCATCACTGTTCATTTTCATACACAGAATAGGAGCAGTGTGCATAGTCTTCCAAGTACGAGCAAGTGCAGGTGTTTCATCAGAGACCGTGAACTCTCGGATCTGAAATCAAATTATTAAGTGAGAAACCTAGGATATCAACGCAGTAGACAATCAAAAAAATACAAGTAGCATGTGGAGAACTCACGACTTGATTATTATACGCAACGATAAGCCTGGAGCGACTTTTATCTAGACATATGCAAGTTATGCGAAGACTTTCGTCAGGATCGCCAATAGTGTAGCTGCAACAGAACAGATCATTACAAGACTATACCCAAAAGATCTTTCACCGGAATTCGAAAAATTCTGCCACATGAGAGTGGGTTCATAACTTTGCATCAGCGTTTTAAGCGTTGGCGACGCAAAGTATGAATGCATCCTGACTAAAAGCGCAAACAAAACACATTTTCCGCCTGACCATGAAGGATACAGTGAGCTCCAGAGCATGTAATTTCCGACTATTCCCTTAACCCAACCCATCACTGTATATGGAAAAGACTGAAATCAATGCCTCGCCAGCGGCTGAGGTTTCGATTGAGCATGTAGTAGCGAATAGTATCCAACTGAGTAACCATCCCAATCGTACTTCGGAAAGTGCCATGCAATCACCTGTCCAGGTCATGAAAAGTCGAGTGGAGAGCGATGGGGAGGGGGTGGATTCACATGAAGTCTTCACAGCATTTCCAACCAATCCCTTTTCACGTTCCTCTGTGTATTTAGCGATCATCTCAGATTGACCTCAAAGGATCCCCTAGGCGATTTGAAAACCATTTGACGTATTTTCCTTAGGGTTTAAGGTGTATACCTTTGTAGAGCCGTCTCGGAGCGAAAAGGAAAGGGTAGAATTTGATCAGCGCTTTTGGTTATGAAAAAGCCGGCGCTTTTTTCCGGCGATATTGGAGAAACACGTTTATTCGCAACGTCCGCGAAGAAACAGCTAGGTATCTATCAGCAGCGTTGCGGAACGAAAGAAGATTAGCGTTTTCAAGCGAAACCTCGAAACTTGAAACGCGCCGAAAAGGTGGTAGAAGCACAGCCAGCGCATGTTCGGCTAGGGGATGCCCCTCCTAGACGCACTGCGCCAACGCAGCCCTATATATGAATTGTATAGAGCAAACGTCTTCCATCAAAACTGAAGATTCCGCTCCTATCTGTATTGAGGTGCAACTTATCCTTTTTCCTCAGCACTCAATAGACCCATCGTAAGCCTCAAAAAATCAGAAAACCTTATGCACTAGAATGCAAAAAAAAGCAGAAAACTCTCATGCATTAGAATGCTTTATTTCAGCAGGGTTCAGTGCTTCCTGTTGGAAACGCTGGGAGCCTTCAAAAAAAAAAACAACACAAAACTTTCATGCACTAGAACTGTCTATTACGGGTCGGCTACTGCCTGTTTATGCCACTATCATCTGCGTAAGACGATTTCCTCAATATTAGGCAATAACACTGGTTAAGAAAAGATTGAGAAACATCAAACCTTGAAAGATCTTTGTCTAGATTGATCACTTTGACAACATTCGAGCATGTGGAGTACAATGTGTTGCCATCTGCACTCCATTCGACAACACCCCCTGTGTATACGGCCTCAATACAGCGTTTTATGGCTAGTTCACGTAAGGCATGCTTCATGACCCAATTCTGAAATATGCTCACTTAGAAATATCAGTGGAAAGATAAGTTTTCAACCAGAATACGGCTTAGTTCGAAACAATATTACGAGGATTCACAAAAAACAGACCAGTGGGAACGTCCATCCTTTGCTCTATGACCACTTTCAACCTTCACTTGAATGTCGCTTCAAGGTGTCGCCTCAACGGATAAGTCTGTAAAGTTCATCTAGCAATTCCGTTGCTTGAATGGAGCGGAAGTAACAAAACTTAAGTCACATAATACCTTTTATAACCTCTACCTGTTTTAAACCCGCATGGTCATCTGCCCAGGGTCAGCTCCTGCCCAAGCCAATCAACCCCCTGGAACTGGTTAATTGGTACCACGAAAAGAACACTGACCTGTACATCGGCAGGGCCCCCGCAGGTCGTTGTATAGGCTACATCGCATTCAGTAAGCCACTACGACTCTGAAAGGGAAAGAAATGCGTGTCGAATCCCAAGAACGGATTACCCGATGGCCATCTGGCCCCAGTTGTCCCGCTCGCTGAAACTCAGAGGCAAGAGGCTATTGTTTGTCAAGTTTTTACACCGGCTTATGGCTTTTTTTCCAATCATTAGATGGTGTTATTCAGTGGATGACAGCAACGGAAGGAACGAATAATGTGCCCGAAGCGGCAGGATATCGCTTTGCTGGACCATGAGCAGCACGTCCGGAAAATCCGTCCAGAGGGGCTGCCTGGTGCTTAGTTAGGGTGTTCTCCATGATTTTTTTGCGTTCACTTCCTTGGAGGTTCATTTAGCGACTGTAAGTTCATGAATGAGCGCTACTTCTTACAATATATAGTCGGTTTGTCTTCAAGTGAGCTCTAGCTAGTGATGTCCTTTTTACCACTAATTTGGCATCGCAATTCGATGGCATATGAGGCCACTGAGAAAAGCTCCCTACAATAAGAGGATGAACTCTACTTCGTTAAAAGCGACAAATGGAAGCAGCCATAAGTGAGCAACACACTTGAACGACGAAAACAGAGATACAGTGCCATGTAAGAGGGGCGTAAGAGAATGACGAAGCGAGTTTTTTGAAGAACCTGCTCTCTCCCCTCCCCCCCCCCCACACCGTCCCTTTCTTAATGTGCCGTTTATTACTAGCCATCTTCTTTATAGGCACGATCTCCTTTGTCCATTCGTAATTTTCTCGGCTCACTGCTTTGCCATCATATCACTAGGTTACTGCATGCGCTATAAATGAAAAGTGCTAGCTCCAAGAACTAATGCCTTCCAAGTCTATGGGCTTTCCCGGCCATTGTGTAGAGGAAAATGTTCGCAATAGTTTTAAATGCCTGCATTGAACTGGCTCGTTACAATAGCACCCACATCGCTCCTATGAAGCCCCCCCCCCATACTAGAGCGGGTGCGTGCACTTAGATACCCGGGTGGGCGTGGCCACAGGGGCAAGGCTTCGAAATGGACCGGTGTTTCCCAAATTTGTGCTGCAATAGATATTAGACGGGAGCACCGTTTACAAGGTAAACGTTCCTATTGTCTTCAAGGTGTGCTTAATGTTGATTTCATGATCATACGTAAGACCTGATAACCACTTTTTCGCCTCTGCCTAATGTATACCTTTGCAAAAAGCATAAATTCCAATCTAAGTTAATTCTTCCTCTCGGAACTTCTTAGTTCAAGCAGTAGAAACACACAGCTGTTTAATAAGAAGGAAATTATCGTCTCCAAGCTCAGGAAGAAGCGCTGAAGCCTAATTATATCCGTCCACGTCAAGCCCTCGCCTATTTTGGCCACTGCCACCGGTATTATCCTAGTCACGCCCGTAGACCTACTAGAGCGAGTACGTCGTGTACTGATGTAACCTTGATGCTACCTTGCTTGCTGGGCGCCGCAAATTCGGAAGAATTTCGAAAATTAGAGTTGAAGCTCTTTTAGGGAGCGAAGCAAAAGTCTTCGCGGCAACCGGATGCAAACCCGCATGCGTTTGACTTGAAAGCAAGACATTACCACGAGCACCCCCGCGGTGCGCATTTCGCCGAGGCATCCGATCAACAGCGCTTTACGAGCCAAACAACTGGCTTTGGCAAACAAACTTTGACACAGACAGATCTTGTCTGGGAGTTTCCCGTAGCCACTTTAATACTGCAAATCCGCGTAATCAGCATTGCGAGGCTCTAATCGATGTACGGCTAGGTCTCTCCTTCGACAGAGTTCCCGTGGAAGTTTTCAAACGCATTCGCTATGTAAATGTTGACAAACACAAACAGGCTATTATGGAAGACAAGCTACGGTTTAAAGGCCTGCCGTGCTGGCATGATTGCCTAGCACGTGATCCGCGCTGTTGCAAAAAGTGCCCGACCATGTTCAAACCAGGATTGCCCCAAACGTCTTGGCTGAGGTAAGGGAGGTGCAAACGGGTTGATGGTCAGGCGCTTCTCCACCAGGGGCCGTATGCTATACTCCCCCTCGAGGGGAGGGATCCCCTTCCCTGTATGCTACACTTCCCCCGAAGGCTTTGGGGGAGAGGCCACGCCTACCAAATCAGGGGGAGAGCTCCCCCAACAACACGTGTTAGGGAAGATGTCCCCTGGAACAGTTTTTTAGCTTATTTCCCATTTGTTTTGAACTTTTCTTATTTCTTCATGTTACAGAAACACTCCTAACCACTCTACCAATTTTTTTTCATCTCATCACTTTTTACACAGTGTTTGGAGGACTATTCTATGCTATTGTCTGACCGCACTTTTACATTTCCAAAAATGATCACTTCTTCTTTCTTAGGATCTATTATAGCTTTTTATTCAACGTGATCGTTTTCTTTTCAGTCTTAATAAATATATATTTTATATTATATTATGATATAAGTACGATTGTATATGTGTTTTCAATTCTATATATTTGAAGTACTATAGGTCCAATATATGTCAGAATAATGAAAGTCGTGTAGTTAATATGACGGCATATAATAATATGTTGTATGAGTTTCGAAGCGGCTGCCAAACCATCGCCGGTTCGCCTCTTTGAAAAAAAAACTCAAGGGGCGCAACTTGTTCAGATACGCCTTTGCATCTAGGGTTCCATTTCAGATATATTTAAGCAGCGAGATATAGGCGCCAGACTTTACGATGGTAAAATGTATCCCGATGACTGTTGATAAGTGCCTTATGTCAGGGGGTCTCCTGCTCATTGAAAATGAGATACCCCAATCGTTGACATGGCTGTTTCGATGGGTTGAGACTGGTCAATCGATTTTACTATATCGAGAGGTCATTCGTCATGATGATTTAGACGTGAAGCTACAGTAAGCTTATCCAAGATAGCGGCAGTTTAAGAGAATCCGTGGTGCAACAACCAGCACTAATTTTCTTATCGTGGTTAAGGGTAGAATCCGATTCAAATAGAACTCAAATTCTTACTCGTTTCTTAGCATTTCTTTGAAGTCTCGGTATCTGAGAGACAGCAATCTGGCTGTGATAAATAGGAGCGCTACGACGCAACTTCACTTAACGAGGTTTACGTGGGAACGTGTTTATGTGGCTCGGCTCTTCGGTGGAGCCCTTGTATTGTGTGGAAAGGTCAAGCACTATTTTTGCTGCTTTGTGTGCACTGACAGCTTCCTCGTCAGAGTGATAAGAGCACGGGTCATAACAAGCTATCGAGATGATATGATTCCCGATACATCAGTTGATGACGTGATGATTTTCAGTGTTTCTATTTTTTTTCCGTCGTCTAATGTCGTAGATTGTATTGTGGGAGTGAAGGAAAGGTCCGATAATAGAAGTTGTGACTGATACTCCAAACTCGTTGGTATAACCGTGAGGTATGTTGCTCAGCTTGGTTGGCGCGGTGGAAACAGGTTCAGACCAGCGAAGCAGGTTATCAGCTTCCGTGCTTCTCAGTGGACCTTCTTTGATTATGTACATTAATGTAGCATATCAGTGATCAATCGTTTAGATTTTTGTTATAAACTAGTGTTACTATGTTTTGTTGCATTTGCACTCATTCTTCCAGCAATGAGTGCGCGTTCGGAGAGCGAGGACATAGATGATTACAGGGACCTGTGCTTATGACACTGTGAACTACTACAATCGATAACATGTCGTTTCTTACGCTAGGTGGAATAGATTCAGCCACTCTTTAATCTAGAAATTTCCTACATTTCGAACATTCAGACTGAGAAAGTATTTTGTTGAATGCGGATCCAAGAATGTTGAAAAAATTAATGTGGTCACCCCTATGACCTTGATTAATACTCAATTCAGCCTGAAAATACCATTATAATAGCAGGGCAAATGATTGCAATTGATAATCATCACTTCTAGCTTGAGATTCTCCGAAATGTCACAGTGCAAAGCCAGAGGCTGCATGTACGGACGACCCTTCCCCCAAATTTGCGCCAGCCAACTCTGCGTCTCTACCGCTTCGGGGATCCCCTCGAGTGTAGCATACGGCCGCTCTGGGGGACGTCCCCCTGGGGTGTCTTCCCCTCGAGGGGACCCCTCCCCTCGAGGGTGAGTATAGCATACGGCCCCAGGCGATTGGGTACGCTGATAGCGCACCAGTCGAGCTGGCGAATCGGTTCGCTCCTATTGAACTTCGAAGTATTGAAGGCATTTTTACACGGTCCTTCATTTTTGGCGACTGAGAGCAGATTTGCCTGTGTAGGAGATTGGCCGCACTGACGTTTTGGGAGCATCGACGTTCCGGGCGATTGCGCGCAACGTGAGCGGATCTGGCGCTGATCGCTAGCGACTGCGGAGAATCGGTCTTTCAAACTACCGAATCTCATCAGTCGCAGAGTATGAGCGCGACCTAAGGGATTCGTCTACTTGCTTTTTACTAGAAAGACATTGAGTTAGGACAGGAGTTCCAGGAACCCACTCCCCTCCACTCACCCAAACGAGAATGTAAGCATTCACTTTAAGTAACTGTGCCGTTGCGAAAGGTAATTGCGGAGGGGGTGATGGTTGCTCCGGAAATGAGGCAGCGATTGAACCAGGATCAAGCATTTACCTCGAAGGAAATCTTTGCTAACATTAAGTGCGACCCTTACCTTCATCAGTTTCTCCGGGCGCCCAACAGTAGTTGAGAGGGGGGATGGGTACCGATGATCCGCGCTCCTTTATCTTCGCCTTTCCCCTCTCCCTCTCCCCGTCCCCCCCCCGCAACTGCACTGTGCACCGTTTTTTCCTTTGCTGCAACCCCCCCCCCAGAATCGCTCCGATTAACTGTCGTCCAGCGAACGGAGGATGAATAGGGTTACAGGCCTCTTGTCAACCGCGCATGTTCTCGCTGCGAGAGTCCAGAGGCATTTTCAGGCATCTACCAGCCCAGCATTGAATGGAGAAGTCAAATGAGAAGGGAAGATAGAAGCAAAAAATGAAAAGAAGAAAGGAAAAAGAAAACAAGAAGGGAGGAGAGAGTCGCCGTTGACAGAGACGGCAGGTATAGAGACGTTCCACCTGTTGTCAGAAATGCTAAAATTGCCACGTCGCCAACAGAACAGATCGTCTCTCCTCATCCCAGCGAGCGGTAAATTCAAGCCCCCAACGAAGAATCCTCGGCGCACGCATGACTCTGGAAAAAAATCGTGAACCCGGAACGAGTCCAAGTGGCGCCGGGCGAATGTATCACTTATCGTGTGGGAGGAACTTGTAATGTGCGAGGTCATACAGTCATTGGACGCTTCAGAGGTGAGAGAGTACATTCAAAAATGGAAAACTGAAGATGTCGATCCATTGAGGTCCCATTGTCCGCGGGCCACCCTGCGCGAACCCAAGGACGGCATGTAAACTCGTCCAAGAACGAGTTCTCGAGCACCTGCCGTTGGCGTTGCGGGACCGCAGCCTTTGATTTGCATGCGTCCTTTAAGTTAGAGTGCTGCAAAGGCTGGAGGCGCGATTTCTTTCCACTTTCTCTCTTCTTTTTTTATTAATGTTGGTTCGATTACTTCAAAAAGCTGGATATTCTCAATTGCTGCGATGTGAGGTTATCTACTTACAGGCTTTCTATGAGCTGGTAACGTTGGTACTGACACCGCCGTGTGTGCAGCGTTACCGACACGCTCTATAAAGTTCTGCAGAGGTGCTGTCCTCAATTATGTTGCGGGAATGTTATTGTATCTGCAGAAATTTTACCCCAAAGCATCTCGTTTTCCTCGTCTTTGCCTTTTCGGCAGTATACCTTGTTTTATTACGATACACGGGAAATAGGTAATTCTCTTGTCGATTCTTTGTTTTATTTCAAGTGTTTTTCAATGTTGTACTGTCATTAGTCGCCCTTATGATTCTAGTGATTCGCCTTTTACGAAAAACTCTCCTTCTTCAATACATCAAGCTGTGGAAGTGGATTCATCTGTCGACAATGCAAGGTACTTTTACTTATTTCTAACTGTATTCCGTCTCAAAACACCCAGTTTTACCTGGTATAAGGCTTGCATATTCAAGACTGGTCCATGTTCGGGATCCATCCCTATCGAGGGGATCGTGTTAGACCGCGTTCAGACTTCGCGATCGAATCGCTGCAGCGGTTGGGCGAGCGACCATGACCACGGGCGTTCCTTTCCCGAAGGGGGGGGGGGGGGAGGGGGTCGCTGTTTGGCTTACGAATGGCATTATGCACTTTTGACAGTCGGTCCCGCTGACTCCGTCAAGTGTGAACATGATCCTGTAATTGCATAGCTTTACAGGTCTCCGCAGGAGGCATCAGCAGTGAACGAAGAGAACCAGCAAGTGGCCCTTCTAAGCCGAATTGTGCCGAAGAGAAGAGTTTTTCTGATTGTGGATTTTTCACGTTTTTCACGTGCTGAGCGCAATATACCTCTTTAATGGACAAAGGGCAAAACGACTATTTCTGGTAGCTGGTCAGCGGTGTCTTCCTCCCACCTCTCACCACTTCACGCAAATTCCTGGGGAAAGGGGCGTTTGGGGTGTTGTTTAAGGTAAGGGGGTGTGCGTTATACAGAAATCTTCTTAAGAGCTACGATGTGCCTGGTTTATACTGGCAGGCTTCCTTCATAAAGACACGCAACAATGCGTGAGAAAAGTTGCCATACGCAGCGCCAGCCTTATTCTTCGCTTCTAGGCTTCCAGTTAGTTTTTGAGTACTTCTTGTTCAATGTGGGTCGTTCGAGTAGATCAGAACAAACAGAGAATACGCAATAGGGGAGTGAGCAACAAACATTTGCGGGTGAACGTTTACGGTGTGCACGGGTGCGCCTTATACCCCAGTAAAGGGTAGTATAGAGAGTTTTTTGTTTCTTAGGACAAATTGTGTAGTAGCCTATCGCAGACTGATTCTGTACAATCGGCAATGAGGATGATGGGAAAGTGAACGAATTCAAAATATTAATTCTTTATGCTTCTCTGTTACTAATACTGAATTTTAGCTAATTTTGATTGCAATCTGTTCCTCTCGTTCAATTTTCACTTTACTATAAGTCTTATTTTGAATTAAAACTTGTTGCTCAGTCGAAGAGACATGTCATTGATGTTTTTTTTCTTCAAAGCCATAGAAAGGTGCAGCTATAAGGGCTGCCGTAATCTTTGTTACTCATCGTACTCTATAGGTGTTTCCTTAACTTTTTTTAACACCTGCACCATTTTCTAGGAGTGCACAGCTCAGAAATAAGCAGTAAGGGCTCTGTTGGCTTGAAAATACCAGAACTATGTTCCGGCTTAATTCGAGAACTATTTTCTTGTTCACAACTGTATTCTTTTGATGGTTCTGCTCTGAGCGCATTCATTTGCTTTTCTTTTAAATTTCGAGTGGATAGAGTCAACTAAGTCGTAGTCGCTGTGGATGAAGGGGCCTGTCAGGCGGGGATGGTTTCGGCGCGGTGCCAAGCCCGTTTTCCAGCAGTTGTTGAAGTAAGCAACCAACAAGACTGTATCATATCGTTAGTATAAGTCCGCCTCAACAACTGATGGAGAACTTGTTCATGACCGCGCGAAGCCTATCCTTCCTGACATGCCTCTTCATCCGGTGCGAACAAGACCGTAGACACTTGACTTCAGTTACTTTCCCTTCAGCCTAGTATTATATTAATGAGTTAAGCTAGTGTTGCTGTGAAATTTAGTATGCAAATTAGGTCCCTTAGGGTTTTTTCGCTTTTTGCGATCGATTATGACTCACAAGAATTCCCATAATTTGTAGTTTTTTCTGTATTATATAATGCAATAGATGCAGTAGTAATAATATTGGCCCTTAGCGGGCCCTGTTGTTGAAAAATTCATGCGAAGCTTCTCCTTTATCAGACGAAACAACGTGTCTGCTTTCAAGCCACTCTGATTCGGGAATCCGAGAAAAAAAGGGAAAGAATTAAGTTATTTATCATATTTGGCTTGTAGACTATGACACAGCTATCGTTTTGCCGTACTTAAGTTAAGAGTGGTCTTTGGTACGAATGACTTTTATTGAACCTCGAGAATGTTCCAAGTTTACTGGGTTCACGTTTCGGCTTCTTCGCTTTCTTCAGAGCCTGAGGAGTCGGTAAACATTTTCCACTGTACGATTCCGCCAGCAAACGCGCTTTCCATGGAAATCGTTTCCAAAATTGTTTGAGTTTTTCGTGGATCAGTCTCAAAGTGTGTCCCGACTTTTAAGGCTCTGCAGAAGACGAGTAGCTGAAACATAAGCCGAGTAAACTTCGCAAAATCTTGTCTCGGAAGACTCAATGAGGGATATTCTTACTGATGCCTCATGCCAAATTTGCAAGAAAGTTGGTCGTGGAATATAGCGTTGTCTTTAGAAGAACTAAAATCCGTTGACTAAGTTGTTGAGTGCTGTCGATGTGGCACAGTTTTTTACGTTAGAATTTCATCAGATTCGGGTGGATTTCATCTCATAAGTTTACCAAAGATCCTTTACCAATGTTCAGGCTACCACAAGGACTGGACGAATCCGATCCGAAGGAGATTGAGAATGCCAGGCAAACATTGACAGTTTTAAACAACGTCGCTGAAAACGCGGAAAAGAAAGTTGAGAAGAAAACAACGTTGACCATGTATGTTTTTACCTCACTTATTCTATTCTAAAGCTTAGATTTCCCTCCTGGAAATACTTTTTTGCCTATGCTCAAAAGTGGTAGAAGCTTCGGTTGGGGTGAATCTTTGTTGAGAACTGTGACTCAGTTTTGATGTCGTCTAGTCTCACCGTGTGGAGTTTCTGAAATTCTAGCTAGTTTCTAGCTACTTTGTAATCGTACTGTGAATCATTAATACGATATCAAACCAGCAAGATCAAGCTCTCCATTAGAGGAATGCTAAGTTATGCACATCTGGTGGAAGCATTACATCTTGAAGTGTTTGTCCCTTGCAGAGTTTTGGGTTCTGAATTTTCTTCGTCTTTTCAAGAGTTGTGATTATCTATAAGATTCAGGCAGCCTGGAGATCTTTGTCCAGATCCGGAACTCGTTCCCGATTTGGCGGGTTCGCTTCCGCAGGCTGTATTGCTCATCGAAAATCTCCAAGAAGCGGAGGTTTCCGCCGCTCATCCTGAGCTGAAGCCCGGTGGTGAATGGAAGCCGTCAGATTGCAAGGTACTAGTTACAGTAAGTTCATTTGATGTGTAAGCACAAACTGTTCGCTTAAGACAGCCGACAGACAGCCGATAAAAGTGTCATGGATTGTTATTTTTCAATTATGAAACAGTAGCTGATAAGTAAGTAATTCCCCAAAGAAGAAAAAATCAAGAAGAGTCCTCAAGAACACTATAAGCAAAATCGCTCCCTGGCAGTCACACCTTCCTGCGGTCTCTGTGCACCCCTGGCTCACAAATTCCTTTATCACATCTCCCAGTAGTGTGTATCATCGAATGCAATCAAAAGAATACGAAAAACAACAAAAACACGGAAGAAAAACTCTTGAAAAGGAAAGAAGCTTTCGAAAACTAGGCGTCTGAGTTTTGGGGTTACGGTGGCGTGCATCTTTTAGTGTAGTGTGGTGCGTTTCGTCTCAGGGCACTTGTCAACCGGGAATCCTCTCCTCTCTTTCCTTTTTTCTTCCTCCCTCCTTTTCCTTCTTTCCTTCTCTGACCCCTCCTCCTTTACCTTCTCCCTTCTATTACTGGTCTGGTAGATGCTTCGCGAAAATACCCCCCACCCCATCGAGAGCAGGTCTGGTTGACAGGAGCCCCGTTATGTGCACCTAATAAAATAAAATCCTACTATATATAGGCAACGTTCAGTTTGTCTGTCTGTCGAAAATTCGGTTTCAATCTGAGAGCAATTTGAGCGGGACGGTCAGGGGGGAGTTGGTAAGGGCATGCGTCAAAGGATGTACGGCACACACACTGAAATGAGCTAGGCTCGCCACTGTGGGCGGGGCGTGCGTACAGTTGTGAGCTACATATTTCAAAAATTCGTAGTTCGGTTCTAGAAGATCCCGGAGAGCGGAAATTGTGGGGAACGATAAGCTAGACCCTCGGTTTGCGAGATGACAATCGTAAGAGGACTCCAACATCGTGAAATGCGCCCGACGGGAGGCGTGCTATAGGTGGGCGGTGCTCGCTACAGAACTTTCAAAAATTCGTAAATCGGTTCCAGAAGATCCCGGAGAGCGGAAATTGTGGGAAACGATAAGCAGTCAGTTGGCGGATGAAATGAGGGAGTCACACCCGTGATGGGCGAGGCGTGCTATAGGTGGGCGGTGCTCGCCTACAAGCAGAACTTTCAAAAATTCGTAATTCGGTTCCAGAAGATCCCGGAGAGCGGAAATTGTGGGAAACGATAGGCAAACAGTTGGCGGACGGAATGAATGAAGCACACCCGCGATGGGCAGGGCGTTCGCCGAAGTGAACGGTGCCGGGGACAAAAACCCTCAAAACATATCCGAAAAACTCCAGGAAATGGGGAGTAAGTGAAACTGAGCAATGGTTGGGCAGATGAAGTTAGTTAGGAATAACCGTAGGGAGTATATCACGCAAATTCCAATAGGTTGGTGGCGAACCATTTCCCTCATCGTGCATTCCTCACTCAGCCTGACGAAGGATCTCCCCGGGATTCCGGTATAGAAAATTTTGCTGACTGTCTTCTAGGGGGAGACCCCCGGCCGATCCGACTGGCCGCTCCCTCTCATGGAAAACTCCGACTGGCCCTCCCTCTCATGGAAAACTTCTCACCGGGACCCACTTCACACCCGGAAGGAGGATCGGCCGGCGAAGCCGGCCGATCCGACTGGTGTAATAAAAGACAGAACCATTCATGGGCACGAGCGCGGTCAGCAAAAAGGGCATGCAATTCCGATTAATGCCCGCCGCCCCAACAAAGAACAACTGAGCGGCTCTCCGTCAGAGGGCATCTAGCAAGTGGGCGGTCCAACTGGGCGGGCGTTAGAACTAGAACTTTCAGCGGCTGTAGCTCGCTCCTCGCTCGCTGTGGAGTCGCGAGAGTGGGACAGTCTCTAGCTTGGGGGCTGAACTACTTGCACAAGGAAGGACGACCATGTACTACTAGAGCGCGGGGGCTGTCTTCAAAGGCAGGTTCCACGATCGTGGTTCGTGAGTAGTGGGGTCAAACGTAACTAACGGCAAGTTGGCAAGCAACTCAGCAGTGAAGAAGAAAAAACAGGAAAATCGTTCGAAATGAGCTAAATAGGAGCTTCAGCGGATCAAGACTTGTGGGAGCATTACGCGAAGAGACCACCACCTTGGACGAATGCTCAGTTGTCGGCTTCATGAAGACATCAGCTCTTTTCGCTTGTTGATTCACTTTTACCACTTGAAATAAAACGAGATAACTGGAGAATAACCGCACCAGCAGTCTGCCTTTTGAAACGAATGTAGTGCGGAGCGCTGAACAACGGGCGGAGCACTAGCGTTACCATGAGCGCCTAACGTCCTTATCACGCGTTTTATCATACGAATGAGATGTTCATTGCACATGCTTGGAATTCGTTATGCACGGCTGTGCACTTCATTTTATTATGACGAAGGGCAAGTTTTTCTTTACAGTTGCAATTTTCTAAAATAAACGCCAAAATCTCGGCCTCCGTCACTTTCAAATGAAGTACTTGACTAAGCCCACCACAAGGGACCTGGGTATGTTTGCTTGTGAACTGGTCTACCTCGTTCAGGGAATGCGCTTGCACACCAGGTGATCGCGTTACGTTCGTTTAGGTGGTCTTCTTATAGCGCTTTCATGGCCATCCATCTGCGTTTTTCTTGCACAGGGGCAGAGTTAACAGTAGACCCATCTCTATATTTGCTACCTAAGTCTTAAGTCGGATGTCGACACCTACTGCTGTCGTTGTTGTTGACTAGTGCATTGAACGAAGAGCACTTATAGTTCCTTTTGGTATTTTATTGGTTTAGGCTCGCCATAAGGTGGCTATTATCATCCCATTTCGTGATCGACAAAGTCACCTAACGCGGCTTCTTGATTTCCTCATTCCTATCCTTCAGAGACAGCGCTTGGACTTTCGATTCATTGTTACAGAACAGGTTCGTTTTTTTCTTTCAATTGATATGTATCAGAGAGTGTTATCCAGTAGTTTATAAGAGAGTTCTGACACTTTCATTTTACTTCTCTAACATTTATGAACTCAAACATTTATGATTCGTCGTAAACGCCTTCGTATGCAAATCAGTTGTCATTATACAAAGTGGTGCTAAATGTATGGGCTCGTGCAAAAAGGTTTTTGGTTTAGATATGCATATTTCTAGAGTTGTTTTTTGGTGCACTAAAACAATAGATCGTAATAATAACTTTCGATGGACATTCTGAAGTATTTGCCCCGAGTGTTACCCAAACTTTCAAATACGGGATGTGGAATCGATGATACGCTGTAAGCAATCCACTTCCGAATTGGCCCAGACAGATGGGTACATATCGAAGGAAGAACGTACGAACAGGTGCTTTTCTGGTTCTTGGTTTTCTCTGCCATGAGGCCCCACACAGGGAAATCAAATGGGACAGGAGGCTGGCTATTGTTCTTTGTTGAGGAAACCGGGGCACTTTAGAGGTGTCCCACCCTTAATATCACCTGACAAGCAAGTGCCCAACTACATAAGGAAAATGACTGCTTTGCTTTCAATTCTCCGAGTTCATTCAGAATCCTTTTGATAGGTATGAATTTTGAAGTCCCCTTTTTCATCGATAATAACTAGAGGCGTGCTCTCTGTGGGGTATATTCCACTCTAAACCACGAGGCCAGTATTTCCTCGTGAATGTTCTCCCTTTCTGCGATTTTTGTATGTCAGAGTTATTGCCTGACGATACGCTTAACTTTTACTTTTTTTATTTCTCCGACATTTCGAATAAAATGAAACATTTTGCAGCGTATCTCAGCACTTCGTTGCAATGCGCGGGCCTTTTTCTAATGACGTTTCAGTCAACGGTCAACCTTTGTAGAATCCTTAGGCATTCTTCCAAGATATTTTGCGCTCCTGTAAGCATTTCAGCAGTCCCTTTTGCAAAGGGCTCTAAGATGATGTCGCCATTTCGGGTAACTCTTTTTGATTACTTAAACGGAACTTCATAGACTGATTAGGAAAACCTTTCCCATACGTTCCAGTCAGTCTTTGGTTGAAGGCAGTAGTTATATTAAGGTCACCTTTTAACTCGTTTGAAAAGAGCTATACATACCTATTTAGTATGGAAACGACCTTTTCAACAAAGGACGCATAATGAACGCGGCATTTCGCTTCGCAGAGACGCTGGGTGTTGATTGTGTCATTTTCCACGACGTCGATATGTTTCCACAAGACGACCGTAACCCGTATTCCTGTCCTCCATCGCCAAGGCATATGGGAGCTTTCGTTAGCAATCTAGGATATCAGTTAGTTTTTCTTGTTTTTATTTTTTTTTGCAAATATACTGATTGAATTTGTTCAGTCGCTATCGGTACTTATCACCTCTTGAAAACAAAAAAACATAAGACGAGCTATGGCTGCCTCAGCTATTTTTGCTTAGAATGGAAATGGAATTGGTTGGGGGAAGCCCAAAACTTCTAAGGAACAGAACGTAGAGTCAGCTGCGGTTCTATGAGTGCCACGCTGTTCGTGCAGAATTGAACCTTGTACAATGAATCTCAGTTATTCAAAATACCAGTCTGGCTGACGCGCATTTCTGCGCGCAGGGTTAAACCTATGTTACTGATACTTGACAGGATTTCTGTGCTGAGCAGTAACACTTAGCCTAATTCCTATGTTTCCAAAACGGCCCATTTCATCATGTTTCTCCCTTTTAATGAACACTTGCCAATGTTAGGCTCATATCATATTTCTAAAATCACCATTCGTTGGAAATCGGACAGCATAGCGGTTGGAAGGATTCCGATGGTATTGAAATCATAGGGGCTCTTATCATTCCTCACTGGGCAACAACTCCAAACATCCTTTTTTCGGGGAACTCGAGCGTTTAGCGGTGGAAGCAATTCCGACCGCTAAACTGAGGGATTTTGCTAAGGAAAAACATCTTGACTCATTAAGAATTCGCCCATTCATTCTTTGGCTACGGTGATGTGAGCAGATACGGACTCCCAAAAGCCCTCGTCGGACACTGTCAGAATTTATCTCCCATAATGTTCCCTAAGTACCTCTGAATTACTTGCTGGAGCAGTTCCCAGTGTTGCTATAACTCTGCTGTGAATTTTCCTGGCTATCTTATCAGCTGTTATCAATTCCTGCCACCCACCATGTTCCCATACTGCCCCCTATATTACTTCTTGGAACCAATGTCTCGTCGTTGCTGTGGCCGGTGTTATGAATTTGGTGACCCTCGCTTTCTAAGAGCCCTTATGATATCTTATCAGCTGTTATCAATTCCTGCCACCCACCAATAATGTTCCCATCCTGTCCCCTATCTTGCTTCTTGGAATCAAA